CATTTGTAGGCCAGCTAGAAGCAAAGTTGTCTATATGCTATCATGTCAAAGTCTTTGCTGGTTAGAGAGCAGAACAACAGCTTATGGTGTTTCCTGAAAATAATTATTTGTGACCCAGAGTTTATTTATGTCTCTCTATTTCTTGCTGTTGTTTTTAGTGGCTTCATAAAATTCTTTTAATTCTCACTCTGGAACTTTCTTATTTATTAATTAATATTCAGTGGAATTTGCTGCTATTTTGGAACATAGCTGTTTTCTTCAATTAATGGGCCAGTTCCATATGTGAAAGGTCATTCATTGCTAGTTTATACAATTAGGTACATGAGCACACTGGTTTCTTGGGCTTGATTGAGTTGCCTGAAGTAGGAAAGTGTGTCATTTGTGATGCCTTGGTTTTTCTGAGGTATTTTCACAGGAGTGGTGAATATGGCATAGGATTCACAGGAGATCTGTGAAAAAGATGCAGCATCAGTAGAATACCTTCCCAGAGAAGGTTGTGCATTAGTGATGGTTCTTTGAGAGTCAATATAATTAAGTGATTGGTGCTTTATAAATACAGAAAGCAGGATGTACCGTACTAAAACTTATGTATGAGTAGTTGCTTGCTTTCAGAAAATGGTGGAAAGGAGAGAACTGTTAATGATGTCGAATGGAACAAGTCTGATAATATGTTATTGTCACTTGCGTAATGAATTTGATTTTTATATTTTTGGAAGTGCATAAAAATCAGATGGGGACGTTGTTGTATTTGGTGATGCAGATTTATGGTCCCAAAGACTTGGCTTTCTAATTAAATATTAAGTTACCGTGAGATAATTTAACAAACTATGAGAAAGAAGATGAGAGAACAGAAGAAGGAAGAGAGTAATGAGCTGAAGTAGTTGTATAGTCTACCTACATAAACAACGTAGTGATTTGAATTCTTTGGAAGTTTTTCATCTTCATACTCTCTCAGCAGGTTTTCTTTGTTGTGCTGCTAACAATCCCTTGCTACAGTGCTGCCGTATTATTTTCCTTTGAATATAGCAATGGGATAGCTATTGTCTCAATTATTTTCCTGAGACAAACTAGTGGGGTTCCTTACACAAGTCACGTTTCAACTGAGCGCTCACCAAGACAGGACATTGCCATTTCTGGTCCTTACAATAGCTGCCTGAAACCAGGGAGAGTGAAAATAAGGTGGAAATGGGCAGGAAAGAAGGTTATGTGACTCTCTTGCTGTAAACCTGAATACAGAATGCTGCATGTTACGGATAAATTAAAACATTGTAGACTCTGTTGTGCTATTTTTGAATGGTGATGTACTCTGACATCTTGACGGCAAAGTTCATGTTTTCAGTCAAGTTCTTAAATCTCTAATTTCAGTGGTTTTTTTCCTCTACTAGCTGTTTTTCTTGTCTATCTTAGTAACATCTCTCAAATTCTATGCTATAAGTAACACTGTAGTGTTGCATATTATCTTTCAATGACAACCCATTAAATTTGATCAAAGTGAAGTGAGTGTTCTTATTGACCATGCAAACAGGATCATTCTTTATTCTTTCTGTCTCATGCATTGATTGTGCAATCAGGACTTATGCTGGTGGTTATTAGAAACTGGATGTATACCAACCACTATAGTTAGATTTACCATGATATATAAGATAGTTGCCTTGGCTGGTGTGGGAAGTTCCACATATACCACATATATAATAAATGTAGTGGTATGCAAATGTCAGTTTTAATGACAGCCACTACAGTTAGCAATTCTTTTGCTGATCTATGAATTACAAAAGAATTTAGTTTGTTAGTATTGCCTCTGAGGTCAAAGAGATGAACAGGCAGGTTGATCCCTTCTCCTCCCTCCCCACCGCCTTTTTCTTTGGGGAAGTAAGTAGTGGTTTTAAAACAGACATGTGGGGGGTTATTTTAATTTTCTTCTTTTTTTTTGTTTTTGATGTGAAAAATGCAGAATTATTTTTCTGGCTACCTGCTACCTTAATAGGATGATTTGAGGGAATTCTGTACCCCCAAAAAAGGCTCTTTTTTCTTTTCCCTTTCATGTTTTTTGCCCATCTGAGTCCAGAAATGAGTACAAGACCAAATCCTGAATTTAGTTTTTTCTCAGTAAACCTCTATAATTTTTAACTTTAGCTTTGTTTTTGTAAGAAGTGATTTAAGAGTGTAATTATTGGAAAATTGCAATAAGAAGCATTTGATAGAATATTAAAGTAACACAGGGGACTGGAATTGTGGAACACACAGGAATATAACCAGATAAAGCAATATGTAAGGAAAAAATTTCAGTTTTTGCTGTGAGATAAAAAGAAAATAATTGTCTGCTTATTGGGTTCATTTTGTAAATTGAGATCAATGAAATTCTTCCAGCAACAGCATGAAATCAATTGTAAAATAACATGTAATTCATGCCCTGTATTGTAAATTATAGTTTGTTTGACATTAATCACTGAGTTTTCGAAGCACTGGGTTGCATTTTCTTGTAACACATTTCTGGATAATGCTTGTGGATCCATTTCTAAAGTGTTTGAGAGCGATCTGTTTTTCATGTCCACAATTGCCTACATTTGATCTTATGCAAATCATGCAATCAAGCAAATAGAAAGCAAGGTGTTGTTGCTAGAGGACCTTGACAAACAGTGGCTTTGTAGTTTCAAGAACCTTCTCCCTCCTCATTCAGATTCATGTTTGTATCTGTAGTTGTTTGAATGCATTGATCCATTATGAAACACTGTGAACTTTAAATAGGAAAATACCTGCCAAATCAAATTGTGGCAAATAATTGCATCAGTTATGATGTGATACGATTTTTATTGTTCAGTTTGTCAGTTTCTGGTTCTAAGCTTTTAGAAATACTACCTACACTATATTTGCGGGCTCATCCAAACCATGATAAAGTCCGTGGAGAGATTTTCATTGACTACAAAGCTCGACTTAGAGTGACATTCCTAAGTCTCTAATTTCTGTAATTTTCTTCTGTTCCCACTATCATAATTTTTCTTTTTAACCTTTATCACACCCAGATCTTTCAGATTCCATTGCAACTTTCTATTCGGCATTTATTAGTCAAAATACGTTGGCATTAGGGAGAAAAATGCTCTTCCCCAGCCCCCATCCCAAATCTGCGTCCAAGGAAAACAGTGATCCGCCATAAACAAACGGAAAAGGAGAAATCCACTTTTCCTTTTTCTCTTCTTCCTTTTCTTCTGTTACATTCACTCTGCTAAGTGAAGCCCTACAATACAGTTTCAACTTAGAGAGAAAACTGTTTATTCATTGTTTACAAGGATATGAATTAAATAGGTGCCATTGATTGCTTTCAGCTGTTCATTTTAGGGTTGCTAAAAGTAAAATCCTTCTGGTCACTTGCTCACCCAGAACATGGAGTATCTGGTACTTGTCTCACAGACTTCCATCTCAGTCTATACTTTTTGTAGCTTCTCTGATGGCAGCTGCAAGGAACAAGGGAGCCAGGAAGGTGTACACTAATGAGGGCAATACAGTCCATGCAGTATGTGGAGTTTACTTTCTCTGCTTGCTAAGCCAGCTTGAGCAACTGCTCCGGAGTGTGCTTTCCCCCTCTCACACACATAAGCACTGCTTAACCCTGGTGGAATCAGCCCCATTATATTGATTAAACATGTCACTGTTACAGGCATTCACTTGATGATTTTTTTCTTAGTTACGGCTTTTTTTTTTTGACTCACACTTTGCCATGTACTCCATAGAACAATACCACTGAGTGATACTGCATTTTCAATCAAAATGCATGAGTCCATTCTCTGCTTAAACAGAATGGAGTAAATCAGAAGGAATTCCATTGCAGCAGGGACTGGAGACATTATATGAGGGGAAAATTAGTGGGAAAGTAGTTGAGTCTACAACATTTCTGCTTTAGTGATGTCTTCATCATGCAGTTGCAATTTTTGAATTTTTCCTCACAAATATTTCTGTACAAAGTGATAGTTTTGATACTATTTGACTCTGAAAACACTAGCATTTGTTATGTCTTTCAAAAACCCAGAATGTTTCTGGCATACTAAAAATGTGTATCTGTAACATGTATGTTTTACTTGTATACCTTATGCTGTTGCTAAAACTTCAGTTGTAAATTCCTTCTTAAAAGATTTGCTCATTAAAATCTGTGATTTGTATTTTAATAAAAAAAGAAAAATATTAGAAGATTATGTTTGCATTACTTTCCTGGTATAATTTTTCTGACAGACATTCCTTTATTAATATAGGGAAAAATATATGAAGCTAAAGATATTTTAGAATATTTATTCAGCAAAGATGCTACATTTGTTCACCATTTGCTGCAGTAATTGAAACTCAAGATAGCTTCATAATAAATAATCATTAAACAGTTGTTTTGCTATAACATTAGATAGGTTGGCTTCACTGAAACATATTTTACAAGTGTTCGGTGTTTGTGCAGCTGAAGACAAACGGGCAGAGAAGAGACCAGTATGAGTGGTGGCAACTATGAGCTTCCTTTGTATTCACGTTTATAGTGAAATCTGCATGGAGTGAATCATTGTGTGCAATGATATTTGACATTCATGTGTCATAGAGAACATTTTTTAAAGAAAATATAATCTGGCTGTGTTAATGAACATGTACTTGTTTCTTCATTAATTTGATTTGATTTAATCATCTTAAAGGTGTTCATTTGCCACTGTAGCAAATTGATACAGTATGCAGCACCTAAGAAGCTAACATCTTTGTTTTGTTTGGGTGGTGTATGTTCCAGTGTAAATGTACTGTACAATGTGGTTGTCTGAACCAAAGTGTGCCCTGTAGACATATTAGTAGTGAAAATTTGCGGTTATTTGTTATTAAACAACCAGTACCTATTCAGTGCTCTAGGATAAAGCTGAAACGTTTAAGAGGTACAGGTCCTTCTTCCTCTTCATTTTCTGAATTCACTACCCTCTGAATGTTACAGAAAAACAATGTAAAATTAATATACAAAATAAATTAATATTCCTTCTTTGCCCTAGATTTAGCAGTTTTTACGCCACACCAGTTTCTACTCACTGCGTGCACGCTTGCTGGCTGTACAAACAGTTCCCAGGTCACCTTGTTTACAGCACAGCTGCCACCATCTCACGTAGATGCCCCGGTCCTGACGGTTTTGGATTCTAGAACAATATATGTACAGTAAGTAAGGATTTCTTCTTTTCTGACAGCACAATAGTGTATCAGTTTATTCAAGAATTCCAGTGAGTTCAATCAGGGGAAGGGTTTGTGACATAAAATTAAATTTATTATGATTAAATGCATAGAAGTGATTAGTTTAGTGGTTCTGTGAACCTTCTGATTATCACTTGCCAACTTAATTTCCATTTTGTCTTTACGCAATCAGTATAACCTACATATGGGCATAGCCTCTGCAAACTTCAGTGCAGGAAGTGTTCTGGTGGTATGCCCGTTTTGTAGCCCCTGCTTTGTGTTACTGTAATCATTTACCTATTGAGTACAAATACTTCATTAGAGGTATGCCTTAGATTTATTTTTATGTTTGCTCAACTATGTTTTCAAATTCTTAAAATAAACCCCACAAAGTCCCCTAAAGAAAGCCTGACTTTTTTCAATACAGTCTGAATCTTTGCTGGTCTTAATCATATTTTGCTTTTATTTGCAGATGGAAAAAACCAGTAGAAGTAAATGGAATCCTAGATCGATATACAATTTATATTGCCAACAGTGAGCAGAATTTTACAAAGTGGAGTGTAATCTATAACAGCACAGAACTTTTTCTGGATTTTACTATTCAGCAGCTCTTCCCGGGTACTGAATACCTCATAAAACTAGCTGTAAGTTTTAAAGAGGTGTAGTAGAGGTCTAAAATGGTGAAAATTATTCTGATTTTGTTAACATCTTAAATACTTGATGGTTAATGTGTCCACTTTGTTTAAGCTCTTCTTTCTGAAACTGAAGTGGATGAGCCATCCTTAACAACAGTAGGTGTTTTGTTTCTAAACAGACCCTCAAAAAAGATGTATGTAGTTTCAATACAGATTTTCTTCAAAGATAAGTTGGATGATAACTAATAAAGAATTGACCAGAAATACATGAAAGACATAAAAAATGTCTCCTGCCCCCAAATTACAAGAAAACATTAAATGTATTTGAAAATGTTAGCCTTTCATACTTGGTATCGTGATAATTTGCTCTTTCTTCATAAAATCTGTAAGAAGAAGGAAATAGCAGAGAAGAAAAGAGTTCAGTGTAATGTAGCAGTTTATTTATTCAAAACATTTTAAAAGACCTTGGTGTTTTCACTGCGTTTCTTTATCATTGGTTTTATTTTGTGATGAAATAGAACAGCTTCAGCTCACTAAAAAACTTGAAAATACGTGCATAAAAGCATGGGATTGTCCCTTGTTTTATGCATACTGTTAATTTTCGAACAATACCTATATAAGGATATTTGCTTTGATAAATGCCATAGAAAAATATTCTGCTCTTGATTATGAATAAATTTACATTTATGTAGACTGGGTATGCATTCATTTTTTCTTAACATGCTCTTGAATGTTCTAAATATTATACCACAAAAAATAAACTACCTTCAGGTAATGATAAGGATCTGACTTGAACTTGAAAAAGCAAGGATATTCAGTCTAATTAAAGCTTAGGTTCATGTTGAAATTAATTCATTCATGCCTAGATATTTCAGCATAGTAAATTGTATAGCATATAAAACAGCACCAGGTCCAAAACTAAGGCAGTACTTCAACAAGCATTTTACGTCTTCATAAGCAAGCGGGACTAAAGAATTTCTGTTATCCTTCACTGTGCCACAGCACTTCTCTGCTCCTGCCCAGCTCCTGTGCATGAGGGCACAAGGAGAGAGGATGAGGGAAAAATTAACGACTAGGATCTGGAGAGCAACTGGGACTGCTTCTTTTGGTGGCACTGCCTTGCTTTGGGACATGGTGAAAATAAAGAGATGTTCTGCTGTCTTTGCTTTTACTTCATCAACATGTACAGCTTTTCTAGGAGTTACTGAATACATTTTTAGGAACCCTTGATCTTTATATTTTATTTCTCATTTCTTTGGGTGTGTTTTTTTTAATATTTACATTGCATCAGTGGTAACTAGAAATTAAGAAAAGATAATTTCTTCTGGTGATAAAGATAACCAGATTTACCTGGATAAAATACAATGGTCTGTGATAATCAGGTTAGAAGTTCTAAATGTCCTTCGAGCTCTGAAAATGGCAAGCCTGAAAGTGCATGAAATGCCCAGTATCTCCGAGATGTGATAGCTTTCTTAAAACATTTGGACTCATTGTATTTAGAACTTGTCTGACTAGTTTGAGAAGAATGTAATACTAGAGATTTACAAGTTATGAAGCTTAAATGTGGCCAAAAGTTATACTTTGTGAAAGAAAAAGAAAATCAAACCCAAAACCCCAAATCGAACACACACACCTGGAAAGAAATTGGAATATCTAGTGTTTCACAGATACTTCAATTTGAATTTCAATAAAAGTAAAACCAACAACAGAATGCCTTACACACTGGAAACTTAAATAAATCCTTTTTTTTTTTTTTTTTTTTGTTAGAATGAAATATTTCTGTCAGGTAGAACCTTTTTCTTCTTGTTTCACAGGTAATATGTTTTTTCTTTTGTATCCACGCAAAAACTGATTTTGGTTTATGTGGGAAGTTGGCAGTTGAGTTATCAAAAGTTGTGGCTTTGAACACAGGATCCTCATCAGCAGGACTTTCAGCACATCACAGGCTGCTGGCTTTAACTTTTTTATGACAGGTTAATATAAGTACATTAGATAAAGAAAATGTGTATCTGTATGCTGTTACCAATTTTCACAATTCATTACTGCCATTTAAAATGTAACAATTGTATTCATAAATGAGTGCAACAGTTTTATAAACAAATCTGATGCTTCTTTCCAAAAGTCAGCTGAGACATCTCAAGGTCGTATCTCCATGGATTAGTGCAAAGGAACTTGCTTTTGCTCTGTTTGTGCTCTAACCCGGATGGGTGTGAGCCAGGCCAATCTGAAAACAAATGAAAAGCTGAAAGGCTGCATTTAGTAGCTGGAGTGGCACACCCATTTATATGACTTGAGTGTTTTTGTGATTTAAGCTAATATCTCCTGAGGGCTGTGTTGCGTGGGTAAGCTAGCTCAGGTGCTAGCTGGAGGATCACTGTGTGGTGTCTTGTTCTGTGGTTTGTATCTGTCTCTTGGCTCTCTAGATACTTTGGTATTTTTTCAAATTTTGCCTCAATGAAGCCTCAGTGAAGTTCAGAATGGCACAGTGGGGCTCTCTCTGGGTGTAGGATTTCATGGCTTTGAGTATCACTCGATGTGATTGCCAGAGTCCCAGCAATGTCCAGTCCATTTGGATACACTGATTTAAAATCCCACTATTTAAAATGTAGATGAGCTTTCCGTTATTGATTTTCCTTAGAAGAATCAGAAACTTGATGCCCTGGCAAGTTTCAGAGGTACAAAAGTTGAGATTCATGAAATTCGAGAAATAAATGAACAGGAAGGCTGCTGTTACTGAGCCCTGGAATGAAAAAGCCCTCCACTGCTGAGGAAGGCTCAGTGGAACATGTTTACCAAGGCAGGAAGGAATGTATGAGGAACAGGTCTTCCAGAGCTTGTCTTTTTGTCTGCTGGATGAAGCCAGTAGGAGTGAAATCATTTGACGAATAGACTGCCTTTGGTAGAAGGATGAGGTTCTTACATATTTTCCTTATCAAAATGATAACAGTTATCTGAGCATCTAAGCAGATCCTTTTTTTTTTTTTTAAATACTGTCATATCTAAAGTAAATGCCATTTTTGGATGTTCCCAAATCTGAGGTTGCATTCTTTCATCTTTACTTGATAGTGCAGACTGAACACAGGGAGTCATTCTGTGGTTGTTCTGGGAGTGTAATTTCTGGTGAAATCAAAATAATCTTGGTGTACAAAATAGCCTCTCATTTACTTACTTTTACCCATGGGGCTAGTATACACTTTTGGAGCAGGCTAGGAAATATGTTGACTGCTCTCTGGTTTGAAACACACTGGGAAATTGAAGTTAATCCTTTCAATTAAAATATACTAGATTGAGAGAAACATTTTGTTCCTGGAGATCTGGACAGCAAGGTTATTTTTCCTTTGTTTGCTGATGATCCAGAGTGGGCTGCTTGTCCACTTCAGCACATGGGCAGCTCCTAAAAACACAGGTGATCCCGTAAGTTTTAATTAAGAATGTCTGAAACTGAATCTTTGTTGAATTCAAGTTTTGATTTATTTTATTGCTAAGCAATAAAATTAAAAATAAACCATGAGCTAAAACAAAAAATCTTTAAATCTAGTACAGAGTTTATATATTCTTGTATATTTTTTAACTAAGAACTCCTGACTCATCATTGGTCTTAGTGCAAGTAATTGGAAAACCAGCACACATAAGGACTATAGCTGTGTAGTCTTACGTTTGTGCGTGTAAAACTTTTAAAAGCCTGTTATATGGGACGATATGCACATTTTCTTGCACATTGTATGCTTTCATAATCAAGCAAAATGTAAAAATCATGTAATCAATTTTTTCTTCCCTGGTAACTGAAATACAAATGATTTGACTTTATTATCCATAAACATGTAATGATAACTGTTGCATACTGATTTATAATGGAGTGTTTTTTCACTATTTTAATTGCATCTGCACACCACTGTGCAGTCATAAAGTGCAGGACTGTCAGAATTGCATTTTTTTTCTCAATAACTATTTATCAAGATAATTTTTTAAGTGCATTGCAAGTTGGTCGTATATTCTATGTCTGAAACTTGTGAGAATTTTTCAGTCAATTCCAGAAGAGGTTTGCAATGTAAGTGATACATATTGTACTGTAATTTTCTTTAACTGCAGCTGCAAAAGCAGGGGAAATCCAATTGTGATTATGACTCTTAATCAAATGCAAAATGCTGCAAGTCAAGCACTAGTATAATGTTTTAGCTATAGAATACCCCAAAACTAAGTATCATGAGTAACATATCTTGTTATTTAAGAAAAGAGGTAAACAAATCTTTGCTAAGAAAAGTATCTTCTATAAAAAGCACAGACTTGCTAAGTTTAGATATGTAACAGTTATAGCTATTTTAAAAAATAATTGCTAAAATTATTGGTATTACATTGAAATATGTTTATTTGTTTTGATTAATGTTTTAAGGCTTGCACTGGAGGTGGATGTTCGATAAGTGAAGCTAGCACAGCTATAACAGATGAGAGTACACCAGAAGGTGTTCCTTCTCCAAAAGCCCAGTCGTATTCGTCTGACTCCTTTAACATCTCATGGACTAAGCCTGAGTATCCGAATGGTAAGTGAACTCTTTTAGCCTCAAGTTAAAAAGATGATTAGTAAAGGTAAATTAATATTCTAAATGGCAGCTTATATGTGGTGCTTAATTTTTAATGATCATTTTAGCACATAAAATACCTGAGATAGTATCATTGTCTGCACCTAGGAGATTGTGGTTTTCAGCCTATCGCACAGTTTTAGTGGCTCAAAAGTGCTCCCTTTTGATAGTTCTTGTGTACTGCATCTCATTGTTTAATGTTTTCCAGGACAACAGAGCTGAGGAATAGGCATTCTTAGAGAATATCAGTCTAGGATGTTCATTTCACCCTCCAATAAAACATTACTTTCTTTTAAATTCATTGATATGTAATAATTATTAGATTTGTGTTCTACATAGTGATCTTGAAGGTGTATATTTCCATGGCTGTGGAAGTTAAAGAATATACTTTCTTTTGTTTAGAAATGTTTTCCAATGTGAAATATCCATGTGTAAAAACTTTGGACGAATTTTACATTTCTAATTCTATTGCACAGTATGATGTGGCCTTGGAATTCACCTTGATTTTATTATCATGCATGTAACAGTTTAAATCATAGCAGAGGAAGCTATGCAGAAATCACTGAATTTAAAGCAACAGAAATGTTTTTCTTCATTGGCTTATCATACTGATATATGTCAATTATTTCTCACAGTAGTTTCATATTAATTTCATTTTTTCCCATCAAGTTTTTGCTCACTTTCAGTTGTGTTAGAACACATCCTACTTGCACAACTTCGCTGCAAGGTACTTCAAATTATTCCCCAAAAACTGATGATTGTACAGCTGCATGTATGGAATATTCTGTAAGCTCTTACATTACTTTTAGAAAGAAATAGGAGTATGTCATCTGCTGTTAAATAATGTATTTGGTAATTTATGGTTCTTTGTATCGGAGTCATATTGGAATATTTTGCATTCTAGCCCCTTAGAAACTCTCTAACCTTGTTTCTAAAATCCTATCAGCATATGTGGCAAAGGCTTAGAGGAAGGAAAAAAGGGACGGGTAAGGGATAGGACAGGGAGGAAGTGGGGAAGGAAGGCAGGAAGGCCATGTATGTGGCTTAGTAGCTAAATTCTGAATTATTTGCGATGAAATGGGCATTTTTTAAGTGTAATAGTTCATGTCAGGATCAGATCCTGTTGTCCTTGCATTGTGGGAAAAATCCAAATAGTTTAGAGAGTGATTTAACTAATGAAAGAATTATGAATATATTACAAATATAATATAAATATATTAAATATACTTATATATGCATATCAACAGCACAGGATAAAGACCTATAGTTTGATAAACAGATTTCCACAGGCTTCTTTTAAACCAAATAAAAGTTGGGAGTACATGGCTAAATTTACATGTTGTATCTTGTCTTTAATACAGCATTTACTATGTACAGCTTGGCTCTCCTTTTAAATATAGTAAATAGGTTGTTAGGAAACAACTGAAGGTGTTAGTGCACCCTCAGTAAGTTTGCAGATGACACCAAGTTGGGTGGGAGTGTCGATATGCTTGAGGGTAAGAAGGATCTACAGAGGAATTTCGACAGGCTGGATCAATGGACTGAGGCCAATTGTACGACATTCATCAAGGCTAAGTGCTGGGTCCTGCACTTTGATCACAACAACCCTACACAATGCTACAGGTTTGGGGAAGAGTGGCTGGAAAGCTGCCCATCGGAAAAGGCCCTGGGGGTGCTGGCTGACAGCCGGCTGAACATGAGCCAGCAGTGTGCTCAGGTGGCCAAGCAGGACAACGGCATCCTGGCTTTTATCAGGAACAGTGTGGCCAGCAGGAGTAGGGAGGTGATCGTACCCCTGTACTTGGCGCCGGTGAGGCCACACCTTGAGTGCTGTGTTTGGTTTTGGGCCTCTCACTACAAGAAGGACATTGAGGTGCTGGAGCGTGTCCAGAGAGCAACAATGAAGTTGGTGAAGGGTCTAGAGCGCAAGTCTTATGAGGAACTGCTGAGGAAGCTGGGTTTGTTTAGTCTGGAGAAGAGGAGGCTGAGGGGGGACCTTATTGCTTTCTACAACTACCTGAAAGACGGTTGTAGTGAGGTGGGTGTTGGTCTCTTCTCCCAGGTAACAAGTGAGAGGACAAGAGGAAACAGCCTCAAGTTGCTCCAGGAGAGGTTTAGATTGGATGTTAGGAAAAATTTCTTCACCAGAATGGTTGTTGAGCATTGGAATAGGCTTCCCAGGAAAGTGGCAGAGTCACCATCCCTTGAGGTATTTAGAAGTTGTGTAGTTGTGCTTCGGGACATGGTTTAGTGGTAGACTTGACAGTGCTAGGTTAATGGTTGGACTCGATGGCGTTAAAGGTTCTTTCCAACCTAAGTGATACTAGGATTCTATGAAATAAAATAAATAACTTGTTAGGAAAGCTGTGACTCTGAACTGGATGAGCAACAGATGTGATAAGAATCAGGGGAGTTTTATAAAAGCAACTATATTCTTCCATCCCTTGTCCCTTTATCCATGGAAACTGGAGGTTTCAACAGCCTCAGATGACAATGCTGTTCACCTCTATGTTGGGGTTTTGAACAATGTATTTAGGCAAATTACCAAATTTGCCATATCACCTACGCCTCTGTAATTCTGAATATACCCTGTGTAGTCGTCCTCTGGCTATTTCTCCTCTTTAAAAATAATCTCTGTGATTTTCATATCTTCTTACTATTTGCAGCCCATAGAGTATTTTTCCCTTGGTACTGTTGTTATTTTTTGTTCATAAGTGGATACCATGCATGTCGCTGTTAAGAGGATTTTCCTTAGAGTCAGAACTAGTGGAAAGTATTCAGCGAAGTCAGCTACCGCTGTCCTGGCTCACAGGGAAAGGCTGTTACTTTTCACCTGCAAGTTCTTTGCTGAGTGGTTAAGAGTGGAAGAATTGCTATCTTATGAGCATTTGGCAGCCAGAAGGGCATTAGGGAATCAGGGACTTTGTTTTTTAACCATAGCATGCTCATGCTTATGCAATGGTCAAGAAGGCATATAAAAACTTTCTCTCCTTTTACTTCTTCCTTCTCCCTCACTTTTTTTGAAAAAGGTCATATAACTAATAACGCATTTTCCCATTCTCCTAATTCTTTCTTTCTAATTTCCTATTTCCATCTCTTTCCTTATTTCATAAAAAGAATTAAAAAAAAGAAGCTCTAAAACTTTTTGCTAAGTAACTGCTTAATCAGGAAAGCTTGCCTTGTTCAGTGACTTTTTGTTCATTCTCAGCATCTCTTTTGGGCTGCCTAGTGGCCACATCATTTATAATCGCTCTCTGTGTCAATATTTTAAAACTCTGTAGGAGGCTGAAAAATATCATAGTTAAGAAGACTGAAATATAAGAAGGACCACCAGAAGGAATTTTCCCTTAGATTTTCTTTCTTCAGCATTTTACTGGTGTATTCTCATAGTCAGATGTTGTAATGTAGCTCTTTTTTTTGCAAAAAGGTAGAAACTGTTTCCCGCTTCTGACTTAATTGGTTCAAACTTGGTGAGTTTCACTCTACTATATGTAAGTAGTGCTTTTTGAAATTACTGAACTTAGCTTTGTTTCAGTTGGAAACCTCAGAATTGCCAAGATTTGCATATCAGAAATTGTCACCTCCTTAGTAGATCTCTGTGGCCACTCCTTTATCTCCCTCCTTCTTTCTTCTGATACTATATGACAGAAGTTACTGTTTATTTCCGTGGGCTGAGGAAGCTTATTAGCTGTCGCTGATGTTGAATGAGTGTGTAGGCTGACTTGGGGTTTGGACAGCATAGACTTTACTATGCTCCATTGATATATATGGAGTCCAGCTGTTTGCCACCAATTAGAAAACTCAAAGGAGATTAATACACTACTGTTGAGGCCAAAGGTGGAAAACAGGATTAAAGGCTACTTAGCTTCTTCATAAAGATGGCACAATGGAGGGAGTCAAGCTTTGAGATAAGGGACCATCTAGACATCAAAGGCTAATCTTGTCGAAACACGGATATTGAGTTTCTGGGCTCCATTTTTGGTTGAAGGCCAAATTACATTATTTTGTGAAAAAATTTAATTTCCTAGAAGATGTGAAATGATACACCTAATTCTTTGTTGAAAGTTGCTTCAGAAAAGTCATTTATGTACCAGATGTAGAAAAGAGACATTTGAAAGATGACGTGCTAAAATATTTGTAATATGCACAATTTATTTTGTCTTATTTTCAAACCAATAATAAAATGGTTGATGGGACGTGGCCCAGAGGTATGCCACCTTACAGCAGAACACTCCTCTATTTCTATTACATACACATCACATATGTAGATAGTGTAATATGTGCGATATTGACCATTTAGTTGAGGGCAAGATATGAAGAGGCTCATGAAATGGTATGTGGCATCAGATATTCTGTTTTGAGCTTTCTCTAGTGGCCTCAATAAAGAATCATACTCTTCCGAACACATCTATTATTGTCTTGCCATACAGTTTGAGGTCTGCTCTTTTAAAATCCATTCACATAAAAAAGTGTCCTTATCTCTTTTCACTATTGAAAATTTTCCTTAGATGATTACTTCTCAAAAACTTCATTTTGATTGTGTACAGGTCATAGATAAAATAAAACCTTGATCTGGACAGTATCTTCCAAGGCTGTATGGGAAGTATTAGGTGTAATAAAAACTGATTTATAAAATTATTCGATGAACTAATCCAGTACTTGTTCCTGCAAATCCTTGTGTTTGTGAGAGATGGCTTGTGTTTGTAGACAGTGAGATTGATGTAGGTAAAAGTATGTTTGCTTAAGATTTGACCTCTAGATTGTACCTTTAAAAGTAAAGAGCTTGTAGCACTTTAGATTCAAAATCTCTTTTCATCTTTAATGTCTGGAATATTAGTTACAGATTATATGGCCTTACCCAGGGAGGGGAGAGGAGGAAGGAAAAGGGAAGACTGTGTAGCTTTCTTCAGTTTAAGCTTAATTTGCATGGTTGGATTTCTTTTCAAAACTGAAACAATTATGCTATAGTCAATAGAGATTTCATCTTCAGTGCAACCAGTCTTTCTGTGAAACCAGTTTAATCTAGCTACATAGACTTAATAATTATGAAGAAAGTGGATATTTTAATGATGACCATACATCACTCACAAAGACTTGTAAATCACAAAAATGTGCTATACTCTTCAATATTTCATGGATGGTAAAGTTCATGAATATGTAGCAAGTCTTGAGATGTACGTAAACTTCAGGCCAACTTCGAACTTTTTCCCAGTATATTTTGGAAACATATACTGGTGAACTAGAGTGGCCAAGTTCTTTATCCCTGGCCAAAACGAATTGTTGCCTAATTTAGAAAAATAGATTCACGTCTCAAAGTCAGACTATGAGCCCTTTTTGTTCTGAAAGGTACTTTGTTTCTTTCTTTTCATTCTGTAATTTTCTCCATCAGAGTCATAGAAGACAAAGGCAGAAGTAAAACCAAGAGATAATGGATCAGCTGATTAGAGGTGATTGTCCTCCAACAATACTGGGAAGACTAACAAAAGCTCACAGTGTTGACCAGCAAGCTGCTCCTCAGAGTGCAGATGCTGCATAGTGCTGTGGTTTTAGGAACACTTTAAAATAATGGTCCAGTTAACTAATACTGAGTTACGGTGGGGATCCCATGGAGGTACATATGACACCCACATTAATATCAAATGATCTCATTATGATTCATACTGTTACCAAAAATGATTTGTCCATTACTTTAAAGGGCTAGTGCTATTGGCATAGGTACTTAAAGGACTTCAGTGGAGTTTTTTTTCCCTGTGAAACAGGTTTAATTCCAGCGTTCACATTTTTCCTCTGAGATAAATATAATATTTTTTTATATATATATAATTTGTTCATTTAATGTAGGACAAATATCAACCAATAATGCCCTTACTTTACAAGCCACTAGACACAGAACCCCAAGGGATTTTTGCTTTAGGAAGCCTGTCAAATGTGGTACGATTGATAACGTGAGATTTACCAGAACTTCCTCCCACACACACCTCTGCTGTCTGACTTGAGTTTAGCCTCTTGCTTTTCTAGAAGAGAAAAGAATCGAGGAGTGTGTGAATCATTTCACCATACTCAGCTCTGCATTGCTTTAGCATAGAAATCTTTTGAAGTATAACTCTTCACAGCTCAGCTGAAACAGATGTGTATACACTTTTATTTTGGAAGGATTTCTCCATTCAGTAGAGGAGAAAATCTTTTTCTCAATTTCAAACATAGTCTTTCTCAATGCAGTTTTAAACAATTCCGTTTTAAAGGAAGGAAAGGTGAACTGAGCTATATTTTTATATTATGAAGATGTTTTCTACAATAGGAAGACTAGAAGGCATCCTCTGAACTGAACTCGCTTCTAATGAATCCTATAGCTTTGCATTTATTGGCTTTAAGATTTTGCACTTAAATAGCTTTTTAAGAAGGAGAATATTCAGAAGAAAGATGGAGGAAAAGCCCTGAGAAAAAGGATTCCTTTGCAAGCTCAATGTCCAAAGTCTAAGCAAATCTGTAAAATTTGGTCTTTAGTTCATTACATTCAAAACATTGTGTATGTATAGTCTGTACAGGATTCGTGCTATCCTATCATGTGCCTTTGGAAGAACAGAGATTTAGATTTCCTTGTGAATGATATAAGCAATCACCTGCAATTTTTGAGTTGGTATTAGCCAATTACACCAGAAGGACCATTCTCTCCTCTATCTAAAAGTCTTGCTAATGTTTGTTTTGAGTTTTCAAGTATGTGTTCTTTCTTTAGATTGAATAGGTATGGAACGATTTACTTTAGAACTTTTTCTACAGCATACTGAGAAGGAAACAGCAATCTGTACTATTTTGTGGGTTTGTTTAGAAGAGTGGGTAAAACTGTTTTCCAGAAAACCACCCCCCACATTAATGAAGTGTCTAATTTGTGGGCAAAATGCAGAAAACCTGAGATAATTATTAGCAAGAATGAGTATCGATAAGGTGTTGTGTGTGACAAAATTATTTGTTACGAATTTATTGTAGTTACAGTGGTGGCCTGAGTTGTCCTTCAACATTTAAATCATTTTGTAGATTACTATTTTTTTTCTAAATCTAAAGCTGTCAAGATGTGAGATGGTTTTGTGTGTCTTTCCAGTTCTTGTTTCGGTAGCCATATACAGAGTAGGCTGTGAAATTGCCTCAGTTTTCCTGATTTCAAGGTGGTATTAGCTACTATTCTGAAACCAGTTTCTTAAGGGGTGATATCTAGTACAGTGTAATTATCTTCAAAAGATGCAATCTACTTGCGAGGTTTTCAAAAGTTAAAGATGGGAAAATGCGTTTCTTCTAAGTGTTGCATACGCAGTCCTGCTAAACACTTAATACCTGCTTGACGCAGACCGTTAGAAATACTACTACTACCACCCTAATGTCTGTAGCATTAGTTTTCCTCTAAACTGTGTAGCTCTTTAGATATTGAGTGCTATCGTGTTGTTTTCCAGGTATTATTACTAGCTATGGATTGTATATGGATGGTGTTCTGATGCAAAATTCATCCCAGCTAAGTTGTTATGCTTATGGACTTACTCCTTGGAGTCTGCATTCCTTCAGAGTCCAGGCATGTACTGCAAAAGGTTGTGCTTTGGGTCCATTGGTGAGTATCTTAATTTGCATTCTGGGACTGTAATAAATGTCAGATGGCAGTGAATATCAGAGTAAATGGTGATGATTCAGTCTGGTCAGTACTAACCCATCTGGCAAAATGTGACATTTAAAAAAAATTTAAGAGCTGCTCAAGATTTGATAGGTCATTGTTAGGCACCATTCCAAAGTGGAACATAGGTACAGTGAAGAAAGGCAAAATTTGAAGCTGAAACACACATTATTGAAATTAAATAGAGTTAATACATTTGAAAGGTGCAGATGTGCTTTAGCCAGATTTATAAGGACGTATATAAAGGAAGAGTTACTGTTCCAGTAATGAGCAAATTTCTAGCTGCCTGACTGAAAGGATTGAAGTTAATTTGAGAATTGCAGAAGCCAGAAGTGGCAACAGGAGCAAAGAAAATATGGTGATTCGTAAATATCTTTTGAATGCAAGTATGTGATCGAAATATTGTACTAGACATATCTTAACAGTCTTGTATAACACCTCATTTTTTCAAGATTTGAGAATACAGGAATATTAAATTTGGCATGTGATAAACAAGCCTTCTGAGGCTTTTTTATTTTGTTAAAGGTTTTTAGGCGTATAGCTGAACTGATAAATCCAGTATGATTTCAGAGTGCTGTAGCTGATGAATAACTGGAATAATATCTACTATGCTTGGTTTTGTTTTCAAGCATAACTGAGAAAGAAACCTGTGTTAGTTCTGGGATTCAATTTTTCATTTAATCCAGCTTTACATGTACAGTTTTAATTTTGCTAACAACAAAAGGAGGAAAAAAGAAGAAAAGGGAGATTTGGGACTTTTTCATGTTCTGTTTCTTTTTCTCTCGTAATTTATAATATCACTATGTTGTACTCTGGAAAGACCTTCCAGATTTTATTTTTATGATACAATTCGTTAGTCACATTTCCAGTATTTTTTCCAAGATTGATTTCTTTCAAATGCTGGTAATGTCTGTCTGTAGAACACTAGACTTTATAACCATTAAACATTTTATAGCTTGCTCTACTTTGAAGGATATTTACTCTTAAAAGCTTGAATGGCTATTTGCCAGTTTTTCTTGTACATTTTTTACAACTTCACATATACCCCAAAAGCAAACCTTGTTTTAAGGCATTCGATGTGCAATAACCTAATCCATTGTGTTAGTAGTGGTGTTTAAGACAAGTCGTTACCAGACTTTGCATACAGATGAAATATGTATGTTTTCAGTATTTCTATGCTGTCAAATAGGCATCAAAAATATAGAACAGAATGGCAGTAGTTAGGGTTTTAAAAAATATTTTTAGTAGCCTTTTTTCACATCTCCAGTGAACTGCAAACTCATAACTTGACTTTTGAAACAATTCAAAGTAGGGGTCGCTGTAGCTGATACTCATCTGCATCGTGTGATCAGTTCGCAAACTGTTTTCCAAAGCCAGCGATCCATCTCTAATCGCAGCAATTGAAGTACAACATCTTTATTTAGGCTCACCTAAGTGCTGCCAGGAAGTTAAAGCACTGCATCTTCATTTCATCTTTTGAATGATTTTTATATCAATTACAGAATAAATCCAACACTGCAAAAAAAAGAAAAAAAAAAAGGAAAGAAAAACCAAATGTTTTGCCTCTGCTCTAAATAGCAAGGGAAACATCTCCCAGCAGTAAACTGCTATGCTTCCAGCTATTTTCGATGCTGATCTTGTTCTTAATGTGCCCTAATCGATGAAAGAATGCTATGTGATTGTCTTAAATATGGGATTTCTGCATCTTATGTTCTGAAGGTGTTTCTGAAGACCTTAATCAGTTATGAGAACGTTATCAGTTACTCTGTTTCAATAATATGTTATTTGGGTTAGATAGTTTTTGTTTAACTTTTTTTTCAGTGACTGTGATTTATTTTCAAGTGAGATGCAAGTTGGAAACATGTAAATTCAGAAGTGCTAAATTTTAATCACTTTTTAGTAAAGCCAAGATACTGCTTTTGTGTCTGTCTAATTTGGTTTTGTTGCTTAAAAAGGGATAAAAATATGGATTATCAAGAAATAGTGTAACGTCTAGTATTTTTTTTTTAGAGGAATTCAGGCAATCTGAAATTCTGCTGGTTTTGAAATGTGTTAGCTCCTGTAAATGCCTTGTCAATAAATGGAAACGGTGAACACTGATTATTTGTCATCTCAACCCACTGCTATAAAACTTAAATTTCAGGTTTTTAGCTTATGAGTATGCTAGTATTTTTTCTTAAACTTGGATGACAGTCTTTTCCCAATAGTATTATTACTCCTATCCTATGATTTAGTGTTATTAATATGATAGTTTTTAAAAGTTATTAATAAACACATCTGAAAATATCACAGAATTGTGTATAAAATAATGTTTAAAAAAGGAAATATGCAACAGTTTTTCTGTGCCATGTGTTTGTATACAGAATGTACATTTTTGCACAAAATGTTATTTTCAAAATACACTGTGGAGGTATAGCTGTAGAGGATACTACATGTACTGATTCTAAAGAGTGTTTCAGTGTTTTTTATACTGGAAAGAATAGCAGATCATAAAGAAAAGGCTAGAGACACAATACAGCTGTTGCAGCTGTTTAGGACGTGGTATAGATTGCTATAAAGTCATTCTGTTTTAAGAATATTTTAATCCTCTTCAGTAGAAAAAATAGTTGGTATTTCTTTTTCCATGTTTCTGACGTGGTAAGAAAGGAGCACCTGCATTTAGAAGCACAACTTTACAGGGAATTATTTTAGTTTAGAAAACATAGTTTAGTCAAATTCTTCCATAAAGATGTTTTTGACTGAAATATCCAAATAATCAATGTGGCACTGATCCAATTAATCTGTGAAGCATTTTTTGTCTTTAAGCATGTACTTTATCTTGTTTACTGCAACTGCTCACCTATTTTAAACGTAATAGAGTGTATGAATATAGATGCACAAGTAGAGATATTGATGCACATCAAAGATATAGCCTGGCACTTGTAAACCATAAGCTTTGCAAATTTTACATGCTAAAAAGTAAAACATTCATGTTTCAAGGACAGAGAAAGAATGTTTGGTTATTTTGATGACAGAGCAGGTGTGGCAGATTAAAAATAGCATTTATTAGCACTCCCATGAACTTGCAGCTGAGAGGCACTTAGAACGGTGTGAAGCCATCTTATACCTTAGAAAACACCAAATAAATAATGTATGAGAAACAAACTTCGTTGCCATAAATAACTTAATAGAAAATTATTTAGTTTCATAGCACTGAATGTTTAGTGAAAGTTGTGAAATTTGAATGCTAAATTCCTCTAATATCGAATGAGTGTTTGTTTATTTTTTTTTTTATTCATTACATTTTCCAGCTCTTTTATCATATTTTTTTTCTCTTAAAGGTCTACTTTTTATTGCAACTTAAATTTGTTAGGTGAAATCAGAAGTTAACTCAGGGAGCAACCAATATTCTGCAAAGGATACGTTTCTCTGTCTAATATCTATAGTAATTTACTACAGCGTTTAGTTGCATGTTCCTTACAGTGGTCTTTTAAAATGCAGAAACTAAAAAAAATATGTGGTCTTCTGTTGCTGCTTCCTCACCCAACATTAAGCTGAGATCATTCATCCCCATGAGGTGCAATGGGGTTTTCAAGAAATTAATCTTTCATTCCTTTCCAGTATTTGTTTCCTGTTCCTTACAGAGGTCTCCATATAAACTGTGTTAGCTGCTGGACAGCTTCAAACAAATATAGATAAAATAAAAGTAAAATGCTTAAAAATTAGGACATCTGCAGTGTTAGTTACCTTTTTTCCTAAGGAAATTAAGTTTTCTAAAACTTTTGCATTTCTCATTCCTTTTCTGTTTGTAAATTATGGCCTCAAACCTCGATCTCATGGTTGAACTTACAGGTAGAAGCTCGGACCATGGAAGCTTTCCCTGAGGGAACAGTTGATATATTTGCTACTGTTGACGGGTCCAAAGAAGTTCAATTAAAATGGCTTGCCCCAAATAAACCTAATGGAAAATTGACCTACACAGTGCTTGTCACTGGTCTCTTCTATACTGATGAAGGTATTTTTTTTTTCCTTTATAATAAGTCTAATGACAGCATTGATATTCCATTTCACTTAAAAAAAAATCCTTTAACAGTACATTTTTCTGCTTTTTTTTGCCACTCAATTATTTTAGAATTATCAATTTTATTCTTGAAGAACTGCTGCTTTGATTTATGGTGCTTTACATTTGTACAAACACATAAATCGGCAAATAAAGATAAGCCCTCTGCACTCATTTAGTCTGCAGATATATACATGGAGTCTTATCTCACAACCTTCACTCCGATAAGGATGCTATACTCAGAAAATTTCAGTTGGTTTGCTTATGTAAGTGGGAGCCATTCGTGAGAGCTGTTCATAATATCATTGATTGTGGGTATATTTGAAATTTATATAAGCTGCAGTTAAAGTAAGGCTTACAAACAGCCAGCTACTGACAAAAGTATGCAATGAAATCAGACACTTATTCTGAAAAAGAAGAAAG